ACGACTTCTTAACAAATGGCTTAGCATTAGTCCTAGGTTTAATTATGGATTAAACAATAATCCTCAATTTGGTAACTTTATATAGCGCGAACCTTTATTTCAGGACTTGTTGCCATGGCAACACGTCGTGAAAATAATTTAAGATTTTTGAAAATAACGACTTCTTAACAAATGGCTTAGCATTAGTCCGATGTTTAATTATGGATTAAACAATAATCCTCAATTTGATTACTTTATATAGCGAGAACCTTTATTTCAGGACTTGTTGCCATGGCAACAAGTCGTGAAAACATTTTAAGATTTTTAAAATTAACGACTTCTTTACAAATGGCTGCGCTCTTGTCCTAGGTTTAATAATGGATTAAACAATAATCCTCAATTTGGTAACTTTATATTGCGCGAACCTTTATTTCAGGACTTGTTGCCATGGCAACAAGACCTGAAATAAAGGTTCGCACTATTTAAAGTAATAAAACATAGGATAATTGATAAAATCATTGTTAAACCTACTAGATCTAGTGCGCGTTAATTTTAAAAATATTTGAATGTTTTCACGACTTGTTGCCATGGCAACAAATCCTGAAATAAAGGTTCGCGCTATATAAAGTTACCAAATTGAGGATTATTGTTTAATCCATAATTAAACCTAGGACTAGTTCGCAGCCATTTGTAAAGAAGTTGTTAATTTTAAAAATCTCAAAATGTTTTCACGACTTGTTGCCATGGCAACAAGTCCTGAAATAAAGGTTCGCGCTATATAAAGTAATCAAATTGAGGATTATTGTTTAATCCATTATTAAACCTAGGACTGATGCTAAGCCATTTGTAAAGAAGTCATTAATTTAAAAAATTTTAAATTGTTTTCACAACTTGTTGCCATGGCAACAAGTCCTAAAATAAAGGTTCGCGCTATATAAAGTTATCAAATTGAGGATTATTGTTTAATCCATAATTAAACCTAGTGCTCAGCCTATTGTTAAGAAGTCGTTAATTTCAAAAATCTTAAAAAATTTTCACGACTTGTTACCATGGCAACAAATCCTGAAATAAAGGTTCGCGCTATATAAAGCCATGGCAACAAGTCGTGAAAACATTTTTAGATTTTTAAAATTAACGACTTCTTTACAAATGGCTGCGCTCTAGTCCTAGGGTTAATAATGGATTAAACATTAATCCTCAATTTGGTAACTTTATATAGTGCGAACCTTTATTTCAGGACTTGTTGCCATGGCAACAAGTCGTGAAAATAATTTAAGATTTTTGAAATTTACGACTTCTTAACAAATGGCTGAGCATTAGTCCTAGGTTTAATTATGGATTAAACAATAATCCTCAATTTGATAACTTTATATAGCGCGATCCTTTATTTCAGGTCTTGTTGCCATGGCAACAAGTCGTGAAAACATTTTAAGATTTTTAAAATTAACAACTTCTTTACAAATGGCTGCGCACTAGTCCTAGGTTTAATTATGGATTAAACAATAAACCTTTTTTTGATTGAAAATTTATTTATTACTCAATGAGTAGTCATCATACATACATGTTAAAGCACACTTTTACAAAAATTTTTAAAGAAATAGAATTAGTATAAAGAAATTGTGGTTATAACTTCTTCATTTTCGCATAGTTCACAAGAGATTTCACTCGTGCTGGGCAGTTCTTCAGGTGGTATCGGTCACACGGATTGTCACATAATTCACATACACATTTATCATCAATTTTTAAGTGATATTTTTTATTTTTACAAATCAGGTGATGAAAACCGTGACATGCAAATCTCGTATAAACATGCCTTAATTTAAATTGTGCCTCTTTCCATTCATCATTTTTGAATGCATCTAATGTGAAATATTCCCCGGGGAGGTTTTCCAATTCTTCCATTCTCTCATTATAAAAAGCAGAAAAGGCTGGTGTGGCACATAGATCAAATCTTTGCTTCAGTTCCTCAACAAATAATTTACAGTTAACCAGAGAATAAATTAATTTTTTTTGCACTTTATTTATGTGCAATTTTAATTGAAAAAAATTTTTTTTTTTCGAAAATAAAAAATTTATACAGACTATTAATTTAAATTAATTTTTATACTTTATTTATGTACAATTTTAATTTAAAAAAATTATTTTTTAACCTTACTTCTAAATCCATCTTCAATATAGTATTATACTAAATCTTTGCTTATACATTAATTTAAATGCGGGCAGCAATTAAACCTGAGTTTATAAACTAAATTTTATTAAATCATATTTTATAGGTATATAATTTGTATGTATAATTAATGAACATGTTAGTTTAAAACGGCTGTTAAAAATGTAAGTATAATTATTAATGATGTATTTATAAAATACATTTGAGAGATATTAAATAGGTTTAGACTAAATTTTTTAAAATTAAAATTGTACATAAATAAAGTATAAAAAATTAATTTAAATTAATAGTCTGTGGCAATCGGAGATCCGGAAAGCTTTTTGTCAACGAGAATTTAGGATCAAGAAATCTACCAAGTGAGTTATGGATACATTTTTTGTAATTATAAAAATTAGTTAGACTTGTCCAGGCTGGTTTCTTTGGACACTTGACCTTCTGAATTCCTTTTTTTTCTTTTTGAATGAAAATAAATAAATATTTTAAAATAAAAAAGTAATTTGAAATAAATCTGAATTTTTGCAGCAAGCTGGAAGGACCTCCAGGCCACTCAGGGTGTCCACCTACATCAAGAAAAATACTTGATCAGTCCAGCGGATCTTCTCTGCCGTCGTAGAAAAGCGTTTCAAGATTTCTTTTGAACCTATAAAAATTTATTATTATATTGAAATATCATAAATATTAAATATATTGAGCAAATAAATTTGTTTTTAAGGGTAGTGATCAATAACGATCATGTCAAATTCCATACAAATTTTGTGACTGCATGATCCAATCATGAAAATTGAAAAATTGTAGAAAGTAATTTTATATACAAAAGGATTTTGAGACAAGTAATGGATAAATTTATTTAACTCGTTAGAAAAAATGAATTGAATGTATTCGCTATTTCGAATACAGTGGTCCGGTCATGGACCTAATAAATCAATGGACCTGGTAAATCAATGGGTCCGGTAGAACCTCGAGTAAGGATTACGAGATAAATAAAAAAAAAAAAATTGAGCATCATTTCTTATCCTCAGAGATTTTTGTTCTTAAAATAGTATTATTTAGAGTTATAAATTTTGATAACAGCCATAAAGTTAAAACAAAATTACCTTAGCCATTTTTCTTAAATTTGGAAAAATGAAGTCGTGGCTCGGCTCGGGAGCTTTTGGAACCTCGTTTTTTCCTTGAACTCGTGGCATCGCAGGTATGGCAGGGATTCTTGGTGAATAGCAAGTACTCCTCTTGAAATGGCACACCAATTATTTCACGTCAAATGCGTCCCAGGATTGAAAAAAGTTTAAAACTCGCGGAATGAAAACTCAAAATGCAGCAGGCGACTTGCTGGTTGTTTGTTTACTTTTTTTGATCGCTCTGTATAACGCTTTATGATTGGCCAAGGTCAGCAAGCAGCCACCCTGCCGCTGATTGGCTGCAATCGCTGTGCACGTGACACAGCGCGCGAACAAACCTCTTGGAGAAAGAAAGGAATAATATAATTCAATTTCATTGTAGCTCATAGGATAATAATTTTTTATGCCAAATGGATTTGCTTAAAGCGCTCGGTTGTTGAGGTGGAACGGTGGAACATAAATTGAAAAGAGAAAACACGATTCTGACAAACAAATTGGAAAAAATTTAATGAATAGAGATTTTAAAAAATAAATCCAAGAATTTTAATTCAGTGAGAAAAAGAAATTAATAAATTCAAATTTTTATAAATTTAAAGTCAACATTATCAATATTTTAAAAAATAAAATATTTTGCACTTGGAACATCGAGTAAAATTTGATTAGTCCAAAGAGTGCTCAATTAGAGGACAAGAGGGATTTGCAAATGCAATTTATGAATTTAAAAAAAAAATAACAATGGTGTCAAATGGTTAGAAATTCAGTGCCGACTGCCGAGACTACCGAGGCACCTGTTAATAAAGTAATAGAGAGAGACCAGGTGCTATCAAGGCTCTAAAGGTTGAGATTATTTAAATTTCATTCTATTTGATATAACATGGTACGATAAAATATTTTTAAATTTGAAATATTTAAAAATTTTCTTGAATAGATGCTTTGAAGTTTAAGTGAGAGCGTGCCTACTTTTCTGCTGGGTAATCAGGACAACATAACTTAATTTTTTTTTAGACGAAATTAACGGCAGAAAAACATAGATAAAGAATAATTCATGAGTCTCGTGTTAAAATGAATTAGAATTTCATCGCAACTGTCAAGTTTTCAAAAATTTGAATTTTTAAAATTTGCAAAAATTTATTTTTAAAAAATTTTAAAAAGTAAGTTTTTAACAAAATTTTTTTTGCATTGCAGAAGAGGTTCTCCTAAGAATCTATGAACTAAGTTCCTTTTCAAATTAGAAGCTCTGTTATTTAATATGGTTTAATATAAAAATTATTATTCAGAATTTATTTACTTGTAATTTAATTTGGCTAAACTGTTAATTATTAAATTATTCAACAGCTTATTATATTATATTTTTATATATATCAATAAAATTCTACAATTTTTCAAATAAAAAAAAATATTGCTAACAATATTCTGAAATTTTGGTTTGCCGAGAAAATTTTGAACCTTCAAATTTTTAAAGGCGTTCAAATAAATTTCATAGAATTTTTTATTAAATTAAACGTATTTCTAAGCGCGAAAATGATCAATACAAAATTTTTGGTAAGCGCACTAGAAAGATTATCATTGACCATTTTCTATAGAATATTGTCTATTTAAATAGGCTTCCGCTTTTGTAAGTCCAGAGAGAGAGAAGGAATTCCTTTTCTCTGCGTTTAGTCTATCATCTATCATCCTTTTTTATCAAGTAATCCCAACTGTAGATCTCCTCTCTGCACACTTTTCCTGCCAACACCGACAACGTTGCCAAGCGTTGCATTACTTGTGACGTCACTTGATGGCGGTCTAGGAAACCGTTCCCAACCACTGGAACACTGGAACTGATCCGGTTCCGGTGTGGCTGACGGCTGAGCGTGCGTTTCGCGGTTCCTCATGTCTTCGATCGCCTCCTCTGCCCTGTCCCTGCTGACTGTTTCTGGGAGGATGGGGCAGGGTGTGCGAGTGGCCTTGAAAGACAAGGCTCTTGTTGCCGTCCCACTCGTCGTTGGCCTTCTGCATTTTTTGGAAGCGCGGTGGCAAACTCTGCATGTTGGGTTTGGCGCCACGACCCCCTCTGGGAGGACCCATCGGCGGTTTCATGGGCGGTTCGCTGCCTCGGCCCGGCACAGGTCGACCGTCAAAGGGCAAAGAACGGGATTCGGACGTTTGTCTCAAGTCTCTTGATGGGCTCTGGCCAGAGTCATGAGGTGGACGCGGGAGAAGACCCTCGCCGCCGGACAGGCGAACCCCAAGTCAAGACTGGAGCGGCATGAAATCGCCCTTTGGTATGAGGCGCACACCTAGCCAGGAGAGTGTTGGCAGGAGAAGAGGAAAACATAGGAACAGGTGTGTATGAATATTTCTTTTTAGGTGTAAAATAAGATTATTTTTAATTTTACAATTTTTGTTTAATTCAAAAAATTTAACATTTTCATCAAATTAAATTAATTATAACTGATTTTAATAATTTTTGGTACAATCATCAGGTACAACAGTGGAGGCAGTTCGTTGGATGAAAATGGCGGTTATAGAGACAGGAGGCACAGCGACCCTCGGGTCACACCCCAACCTAGTGTCAAAGTAGCCGAAGATAAAGGATCTGACGAAGAACTTGGGCCACTCATGTCTTTGAATGTGCCGGAAATTACTGTAAATAAATTATTTTGTAGGAACCAATTTTTGTCTAAATCAACATTATATTCTTTCAGGACTGGAGTGCTGAAGTTGAAGAGAGCGATAGATTGGAGGCCGAGGCTTTGATAAGCGAGACCGAATCCAATGCTGCAAAAAGTGAACAATCATCAAAAAGGAAAAGGAACAGAAGAAAGAAACAGAAGTATGAATCTGCAATTTTTTCCAACAATTTTTTTAACCCTTGTCGTCTCATGTCCGACAAGAGTTTTGATTCCATTTTATTGTGCCTTTAACAATAATTTAAAATCTAGGAAAGGAGGGGAAAGGAACAAAGAATCAACTGAGAAGTCTCCAGCACCCGCAGACAAATCACCCACCCCTCACAAAGGAGGACTTTTGATCCTCCCAGCCAAACTAGATTTGGGCCAGTCTCCCCCCTCGCAGTCGGTCCAGCGCACCCTTTACGACCCAAACAATCCGTCGAAACCAATCATGATGAAGGCGGCAGGGATGCGCATGCCACAGCCTCAGTTTCCTCAGTTCAGTTCGCCTCCGGAAATGGGCATGCACGGCCGCATGCCTGCTCCTCCCCACCCCTATCCACCTGGAGCGCCTTTCATGTACGGACCCTTCACCAGACCCGAAGCCAGCATTGCAGAGAAACCATTGTGGTATGACCACTATTCCGAAAAGTAAGTAATTTCATTTTGTTTAAAGTAAAATCTAATCTGTTCCAATTGCAGTTTTAGAAATTGTCGAAATCCTCACTTACTAATTGACATTGAGCAAGCTGATTGGGAACTGACAAAAATTATAAGCACGGTCGGCATTGTTCAGAGTTGGCCTAAAATTTGTCAAATCAGGTACTTAAAATTAGTCTGAAATAAAATTTAAATAATTTTGTCTGTATTACTTTTTCAGGCAATTTTTACTTAACTCTCTAATGATGCTCCTGCTGCAAGATCTCAGATTTTCCCAAATGGAAAACATTGAAATACATTTATGGAAACTGGCTTTTTACCAAGTGATAGGAACTGCTCAAGAAAAGGCCAAGCGGAGGCAATCAGGAGTTGCACAAGAAGACTTTACTTGCTGTGATAGAGGACGGCATTAAGTTTTTCGGCAATTTGCTAACAACTCTGCAGGACACTTAAAAATTCAGCGTTGAAGAACTGACCGGCAAAGGCGCACCGATGCTGACCCAGTTTTGGCTCTTCACGCTGTTAGATTCAATGAATTTTTGTAAGTGTATATTAAAATTCATAATTGCAGAGGAGAAAACTGGATGCAGTTTATTTCTACATGAGAAGTCTGATGGCATATCAAATCCTTTCCAGACGGCTCGTGAAAGCCTTTTACTGTTGTTTGATGAAAAAAGGAAAAAGGTAAATTTGATTGCACTTCCCGGAACTGGAAACCTATTTTGGAATTTTCAGTTTGAATCTCTAGAAAAGAAGAGGAGGGACGAACAAGCAGCTGAAGAGAAGGAAAGACTGCAAGAAAAGGCAGCAGTCAGTAAAGGCCACCGAAGGGAAATCTGGATTCACCCAGACAATAGTTCCAAAGAGTGGCTTACCCCGACTGATAGTGAAAAGGATGCTGACTGGAGAGAAGAAGAGTTGTCCAAGATGTCATTTATAGAGGTACATTGTTTAAAACAAATAAAAATACGGTTCAACCTTAATTTCAATTTTCCAGCTCAACAAGCAATTCCTCACAAGTTACCTTCATGTTCAGGGCAAGCTTTTCACCAAAATTGGGTTAGTTGATTCCTTTGCTTATTTAATTTTCCTCAAATACTCAATCATAGAGAAAGTTCTTTAAGCCAATATTTTATTTTTCAGAATGGAAACATTTCAAGAAGCAGCCCACCAAATGTAGAGAGAGTTCCGGGCTCTCCTGCAGCATCATTTCATTCACTTAAGAAAAAAATGCATGTAGAAATAAAATTGTTATCTTTGCATTTATGTTATTATTGCATTTTAATTTTTAGAAGTTCTTGAGCTCATTTTGTATTGTATCACAACTTGCGGTTTTACAGTTTTTACACTAACAATCAAATCAACAAACAATATCTTTTGACTAATATGAAATTAAAGTGACTTGATTGAAAGGGAATGTCAAATTAAAATTTAATTTGTGCTTAAAATATAACTAATGCCTCGCTCTGGAAACTAAACTGCCTAGAATCCTTCAGTCTGTTTGGGGGCTTGAAAATCTACTTTCGGAGTCCAATGTACTCCATCAGGGTGTGGCACCAGCGCCTAGCAAACTGTCCAAGCCAAAATCCATTCACTTGTTCATCTTCACTAGGTCCCTCCCCAGCTTCGGCCCTCTCGCGCCTCTTCCTATTGCTTTCTTTCAGATGAGCCCTACGCACAACTAGGGCGTAGTCTGCATGATCTGTTGAGAATAATTCAAATTTATTTTATATAAATGTCATTGTGTAATTTATTAACAAATATTGCCGCTTACCTGTACATCCTGCAACATTGAGATCATTCTGTGAGCAAAAGAGGAAGAGAGAGGCTGTTTTGGCTGCTGAGGGGTCAGTCTTCAAAAGTTGTACCTCAGACGGGGCCAGGCAGCCGTCATAGACTAGGTCTTGGTTTGTGCGTTTGTTTTCCTTCGGGGCCAGGTTAATTTCAACACCAGGATATTGCACAGTCTCACACAATTTTGTGGCCAATCTGTCGCGAGCTAGAACATTAAATTTAAAAAATATCATAATGCTAGATCAAATTTTGTTTCTCTTACTTTCACGCGTGTCAAATCTGATCTTGTTGAGATCCAAGATCTCAACCTGGCAGCCAAGGGTTATGTTGTTTTTGATTCTGGCCTTTCCCTGAACCAGGCTAAGGAATTTGCATTCCTGGAGGGTGGAAACAACCTCAACCGGGTGGTGGTCTGGTACGTAGACATTGATCTCTTCCATTCTCTTCTCCGTATGGGATTCGGCCGATTCAAAGAATAAAATTCTTCTGCCCGAAAATGAAAAAAACCGTTAAGAATTTTTTGAACCTCTCTCTAAACTTTTGTGATAAGACTATGTATGTATTGGTTGGTAACGAAAAATAACAATACAGCTTGTATATAGAACTATGTCAGCTATGCAACAATGAAAAATAATATGCAACGATTGAGAAAAGAATGCAATGAAAACCTAAAATTTGATGGGCCGCCTGCAGGTTTGTTTGTTTTGTGTTTTTGTGTGTGGTGCTTTCAGTTTTTGCATGTAATTCGCGCTTGAATTCGCGATTAGCATGGCAGCCAACATAATGGTTTTATTTTTCATAAGGTCATTATAAAATTGGGGACCATACAAAAGGCGGAGCTTTCCTATCCCCACTATGTTGTTTTCAACAATTATTGCTCACAAAAACTGGTACGTGAATCCTCCCATTTTCGTATCCTGTTTAAATTACTTGTATTTAAATTTTGGCTTGGCGGAAAACGAGTGTGAAAGAATAAGAATAGTGGAATTATGAAATTCCTTATACCGCAAAATGCAATATTGTATATTATGTACATCCAAACAAGTTAGATAGTAATGAATCATTGCCGAACCACGCAAATTGTAAATAAATTTGCCCCTTTCAAAATGCTAGATTCGATTTTCAATTCTCATAATATTTTTTCTGCTTCGTTAGGTTGGCAACCCGCATTTATATGTTGTGTTTTTATAATTATAAAAATGGCGGAAGACAGACAACTGAACAGTGGAAAATTTAATTCTAACATGCAAGGTATACTTAATGTTTATAATTTTTTTACGACTCGAGAATGGGGATTATTGAGGACAACTGTAACATTTCATTGAGACCGATGCAATAGCTGATGAATTATAAAACTAAATATTATATGAACGCCGCGAGAGTCGCAACGAAGAGGATGCGGCATTTCACTTTTTGTTGCGAGAGGAGTCCGTGACCCAAACAATTCGATTTTTTATTTATATCTTCTATAAAAATGAAATTTTTCCAAAAATTTAATTAAAGCCTTTAAACCACGTTGCCTAGATTATTTCTTTATAAAAATTTGTCCACACTAGAAGTGCTGCTGTTGAAAAGTAACCTTGAGGGCATGAAAATATGTATGTATTTCCGCCTTCATCAGCTTTTTATCTGTTTTGCAGATCAACATGAAAGGAAGAACAACGGCCACGTCCGATCCGGAGGAAAGGGTAGCGCAGGGGGCAAGTCGCAAGTAATTTACCGTCCGGGCAGTGGCCCCTTGAAGAAGACTGGCGAAGCTGACAATATAACTGAGCACGGCGGCCCCAAGGCGGGCGCCAAAGGGTCCTCGGCGCGGCCCAGCGGGGGCGACTGGCGAAAGCCTTCGCAACAGTTGTACCAGCCTCCGGTCAACAACAGCCGAGAGTCGACACCGGGGCCCCCAGAATTGCCCCCCGAGAAAGCGTTGTCCATCAAAATGTCGCAACTGAGCACTGCGGACAACGACTCTTCAGACGACAAGAAGAAAAGCAAAAAGCCCGAGTTGGCCATCTACGTCCCAAGGCCTAAAGCCCAGGCCATGGCCGAGGGTGGAGAGGAGCCATGGGAGGGGCAGGGTAAAGGACGAGGACAAAAGAAAATGACCTCGTCAAATTCGTGGGAGCAGCAGCCTGGCAATAAAGGTAAAGCAGAATCCTGGGACCGACCAAAGAAGAATGACATGCCCGAGTGGAGAAAGCAGTCTAATAAGGAACAGGTACGGGAATTTTTCATTTGAATTAAATTTTCAGACAGTCCGCAATTGTTTAATATTTTTTTTTTATCTTTCATTTTATAAAAAAAATATTGATATGTTATATAATTTCATTGGTTTCCAAAATATTTTACTTCAGTTTGATGAAAAGTATTTATTATTTTTTCTAATAAAATTATCCAAGACAAAAAAAAAAGATAGGGGTAAGTTAATGAATGGAAAGGCTTAAGTTCTTGTTTTTACTTATTTATTCAAATTTTAAATTATAAATGTGTGCTTTATAATCTTTAATTTAAAGTATTTTCAAATTTAGGAAAACTATTTGAAATTACAAAATTTTGCTTTTTTTTAAGATTCTTCACTGAATTTAATCTTGATTTTACACTTATAAGAATATTATTTTCATGTTTGTTCTAGGGTCGGAAAGTAAAAGGGTTTGGAAAAAGGGGTCAAGCAGACGACACATCATGGCGGAGTCAAAGTCCGCTGCAAAGAAGCGAAAGCATGTCTGGCCTGAGCCCATCAAGAGACTTGAGACAAACGTCTGAACCCCGTTCCTTGCCCTTTGACGGTCGACCTGTGCCGGGCCGAGGCAGCGAACCGCCCATGAAACCGCCGATGGGTCCTCCCAGAGGGGGTCGTGGCGCCAAACCCAACATGCAGAGTTTGCCACCGCGCTTCCAAAAAATGCAAAAGGCCAACGACGAGTGGGACGGCAACAAGAGCCTTGTCTTTCAAGGCCACTCGCACACCCTGCCCCATCCTCCCAGAAACAGTCAGCAGGGACAGGGCAGAGGAGGCGATCGAAGACATGAGGAACCGCGAAACGCACGCTCAGCCACACCGGATCAGTTCAAAAGACCGAAGACTCCTCCCCACCATGGAGGAGGCGGACGCGGGAGAAGACCCTCGCCGTCGGACAGGCGAACCCCAAGTCAAGACTGGAGCGGCATGAAATCGCCCTTTGGTATGAGGCGCACACCTAGCCAGGAGAGTGTTGGCAGGAGAAGAGGAAAACATAGGAACAGGTGTGTATGAATATTTTTTTTAGGTGTAAAATTAGATAATTTTTTTAATTTTACAATTTTTGTTTAATTCAAACAATTTAACATTTTCATCAAATTAAATTAATTATAACTGATTTTAATAATTTTTGGTACAATCATCAGGTACAACAGTGGAGGCAGTTCGTTGGATGAAAATGGCGGTTATAGAGACAGGAGGCACAGCGACCCTCGGGTCACACCCCAACCTAGCGCCAAAGTAGCCGAAGATAAAGGATCTGACGAAGAACTTGGGCAACTCATGTCTTTGAATGTGCCGGAAATTACTGTAAATAAATTATTTTGTAGGAGGGTGGATCCAGGAATGATTTGGGTGTGATTGTTGATAAAAAGTTACCATTTTGAAATTCATTTATGATGTTGGGGTTGGAAAAAGATGCTTCCTCCTAAATTTTCAGCTAAAAATATTGGGTGCTTTTCCGGGGAAATCAGATTTGTCCAAAAACACTAAAATACAAATATCTCTGCTCCTACTAAGAATAAATGTATGCTCTCTTCGCATTCAGACGTAACTTTTTACGCCCGACAACTTTGCCATTGACAAATTTTGCGTAGGTCAAAGGTCAAGGTCACTAAATTGCAAATTTCACTTTTAAACGCAATTTTCGCAAAGAAGCACCCCTCAGATTTTTTTCGCAGTATAAGAAAAAATGTAGCCCCAAGTGTGTAGAACAAAATACTTGATTTTCAGAATGGTAACTTTTACCATTTAATTTATATTAACAACTGAATATTAAAAAACAGTGAAAAATCACTTTTCCGCAACAGAAATTATTTTTCAACCAGCGATAACTCTGTTTCTGTTACAGAAACGACAAAATGTGTAACGACAAAAAGTATTTGTCTTGACTTTCTGCATCCAACCATGTGTCAGTCAAGAAGGTCAGGTCACCTAAGGTCATTGACCTCGGTGACCTGTGACCTTGGAATACAATTTTGCAAATTTTCTGTGCAGAAAATAATAAAACGTAGTTAGTTTATGAACAATTATTTTAAAAATTTGCAAAATCGCATTTAAAGGTCACAGGTCACCGAGGTCAATGACCTTAGGTGACCTGACCTTCTTGACTGACACATGGTTGGATGCAGAAAGTCAAGACAAATACTTTTTGTCGTTACACATTTTGTCGTTTCTGTAACAGAAACAGAGTTATCGCTGGTTGAAAAATAATTTCTGTTGCGGAAAAGTGATTTTTCACTGTTTTTTAATATTCAGTTGTTAATATAAATTAAATGGTAAAAGTTACCATTCTGAAAATCAAGTATTTTGTTCTACACACTTGGGGCTACATTTTTTCTTATACTGCGAAAAAAATCTGAGGTGTGCTTCTTTGCGAAAATTGCGTTTAAAAGTGAAATTTGCAATTTAGTGACCTTGACCTTTGACCTACGCAAAATTTGTCAATGGCAAAGTTGTCGGGCGTAAAAAGTTACGTCTGAATGTGAAGAGAGCATACATTTATTCTTAGTAGGAGCAGAGATATTTGTATTTTAGTGTTTTTGGACAAATCTGATTTCCCGGAAAAGCACCCAATATTTTTAGCTGAAAATTTAGGAGGAAGCATCTTTTTCCAACCCCAACATCATACATGAATTTCAAAATGATAACTTTTCATCAACAATCACACCCAAATCATTCCTGGATCCACCCAGGAACCAATTTTTGTCTAAATCAACATTATATTCTTTCAGGACTGGAGTGCTGAAGTTGAAGAGAGCGATAGATTGGAGGCCGAGGCTTTGATAAGCGAGACCGAATCCAACGCTGCAAAAAGTGAACAATCATCAAAAAGGAAAAGGAACAGAAGAAAGAAACAGAAGTATGAATCTGCAATTTTTTCTAATAATTTTTTTAACCCTTGTCACCTCACGTCCGACAAGGGTTTTGATTACATTTTATTGTGCCTAATTAACAATAATTTAAAATCTAGGAAAGGAGGGGAAAGGAACAAAGAATCGACTGAGAAGTCTCCAGCACCCGCGGACAAATCACCCACCCCTCACAAAGGAGGACTTTTGATCCTCCCAGCCAAACTAGACTTGGGCCAGTCTCCCCCCTCACAGTCGGTCCAGCGCACCCTTTACGACCCAAACAATCCGTCGAAACCAATCATGATGAAGGCGGCAGGGATGCGCATGCCACAGCCTCAGTTTCCTCAGTTCAGTTCGCCTCCGGAAATGGGCATGCACGGCCGCATGCCTGCTCCTCCCCACCCCTATCCACCTGGAGCGCCTTTCATGTACGGACCCTTCACCAGACCCGAAGCAAGCATTGCAGGGAAACCATTGTGGTATGACCACTATTCCGAAAAGTAAGTAATTTCATTTTGTTTAAAGTAAAATCTAATCTGTTCCAATTGCAGTTTTAGAAATTGTCGAAATCCTCACTTACTAATTGACATTGAGCAAGCTGATTGGGAACTGACAAAAATTATAAGCACGGTCGGCATTGTTCAGAGTTGGCCTAAAATTTGTCAAATTAGGTACTTAAAATTAGTCTGAAATAAAATTTAAATAACTTTGTCTGTATTGCTTTTTCAGGCAATTTTTACTTAACTCTCTAATGATGCTCCTGCTGCAAGATCTCAGATTTTCCCAAATGGAAAACATTGAAATACATATATGGAAACTGGCTTTTTACCAAGTGATAGAACTGCTCAGAAAAGGCCAAGCGGAGGCCGAAGGCAATCAGGAGTTGAAGGAGTTGCACAAGAAGACTTTGCTTGCTGTGATAGAGGACGGCATTAAGTTTTTCGACAATTTGCTAACAACTCTGCAGGACACTTATAAATTCAGCGTTGAAGAACTGACCGGCGAAGGCGCACCGATGCTGACCCAGCAGCCCAACCAGTATCCTCCAATCACAAATTTAGCCATAATTTCTGCACAAAAGGTCTGCTTGTATATGGGTGACCTGGCAAGGTACAAGGAGCAGGCCAACGACACAAGCAACTTCAACAAAGCCAAGCAGTGGTACACTAAAGCTCAAATGCTCAATCCAAAGAACGGGCGCCCCTATAATCAATTAGCAGTTTTGGCTCTTCACGCTGTAAGATTCTTTGAATGTTTATAAGTGTTTATTAAAATTTATAATTGCAGAGGAGAAAACTGGATGCAGTTTATTTCTACATGAGAAGTCTGATGGCATCAAATCCTTTCCAGACGGCTCGAGAAAGCCTTTTACTGTTGTTTGATGAAAATAGGAAAAAAGTAAATTTGATTGCACTTCCTGGAATTGGAAACTTATGTTGGAATTTGCAGTTTGAATCTCTTGAAAAGAAGAGGAGGGACGAACAAGCAGCTGAAGAGAAGGAAAGACTGCAAGAAAAGGCAGCAGTCAGTAAAGGCCACCGAAGAGAAATCTGGATTCACCCAGACAATAGTTCCAAAGAGTGGCTTACCCCGACTGATAGTGAAAAGGATGCTGACTGGAGAGAAGAAGAGTTGTCCAAGATGTCATTTACTGAGGTACATTGTTTAAAACAAATAAAAATACGGTTCAACCTTAATTTCAATTTTCCAGCTCAACAAGCAATTCCTCACAAGTTACCTTCATGTTCAGGGCAAGCTTTTCACCAAAATTGGGTAAGTTGATCCCTGTGCTTATTTAATTTTCTTCAAATATTCAATCACAGAGGAAGCTCTTTAAGCCAATATTTTATTTTATTTTTCAGAATGGAAACATTTCAAGAAGCAGCCCACCAAATGTTGAGAGAGTTCCGGGCTCTCCTGCAGCATTCTCCAGTGCCTGTCAGTAGCGCCAGGTTCCTGCAACTCCTCGCCCTAAATATGTTTGCCATCGAGAACACTCAGCTCAAAGGTAAGACCGTTTACTTCTTGTTAGCCAGAGTTGCATGAATTTAAATGCGGCGAAACTGCACTTTGCGGCCATGTACGGGATATAAGCGGAGCAACATTTCCTTGCAAGAGCAGGCAAGCGAGAAAGAGCATGCATGACAAAAGTACGTGGGTGTTGGCGAACTGGCTCTTTCTTTCTGCGCTGACCGTGACCTTTGACTCGTCTGAAACAGGTCCGGTTGTCTGCCCAGACGAGTCCGCTCTTTTGAAGCGGCGCGTTGTAAGCTGTAAACTATTTGGCACTAGTCACCTGATCTGCAGATATCACGACCGTAAATCATGCAGTCGCGCTGTATGAATTATTTACCTGCTGGCTTGTTTGAATTTTCCACTATGCCGCTCAAATGTACACAATCATGCTTGAATTTCTTATGCGATAGAAGAAAAAATATGAAAAAAAAAAATAATAATAATAATGAAAAAGTGAATTCTTTACCATTTTACAAGACATAAATACTGCTGATCCTATTAGCCGAAACAAAACTAATATTTTGGGGCCAACTCAATTTATTATTTCACCCTTAATCTTGGAGAGTAGAATTTTGAAATTTGAAGTAGAGTCTGAGTTTCTTAAATATTAATTTTTAACTGTCCTTGTGTTTTTATAATCAATCATTATCAGCTATGTGAAATAAAATAAATGCCCTTACGGAAATGCATGTTTTTTTTTATCAGTTTTAATGAAATTGACTGGTTTAGACCTTTCCAAGGGTGATTTTTGTTTCAAATTAATTCAGGTCTTGCGCTTTGAAAGTGTAGAAGCAAAAAGAGTTTCAAATTATCACTTGGAGATTTATGTTTGGTCGGACAGCGTGCAATTAACAAATCCCGCGTTTGTTTGTGGAAATGCTCTTTAGGCGGTTATGCAAGCGAACGAACGCATCCTCAGTAACACACAAAGGAAAAGTGCACTGCAGACATTGACCTCTTCCGCGGACAAAATTGAGGCGTGTTTTCACACCTGTAATTGTGAGAAGTGCGGCTCGAGATGTTTTCTAAATTGCCTTCTTGTATTAATTAACTATGCTAATAAGCCTATCACGTTTTTGGTCAGAGGTTGAACATTATAATGGCCTCAAAATTACACTCGCAGGCGAGCAACTCCTTTGTGAGTGAGGGAGATTTTTCTCTCTTGCCGAATGGTACGGTACTTGAGCATGTTTCAATTCTCAGATTTTACGATTCCGTCAGCTGAATTTAAAAAAAAAGTAAGATCTTTGATCGTTCCCAATCGCTTCCCATTGGAATTCATGGTTGAGTTTAAGTTTAAAGCGAGTGCAAATATGGAGGGTTTGTTAAATTTTTAATTTATCAGACATTTTTCAATTTGCAAGATTCCAAAGATTGAATAATTTTAAAATATATGAAACACTTTTTCAATTAAGTTTCAATCAGTTTCAATTAAGTTAATACACAAAATTGTAAAAAGGCCATTTTGAATTGAAAATAAAAATATCATTAGTTTATAACCTGAAGACTTTTTGTTTGGTTTATTAATTTAAAATAAATTACTAACATTTTACAAAGTTTGACCAACACATATCCAGAGGCGTATTCTAACTGGGCAAATTATTTAGAATTCAGATCGAAGAAAACAACTTTTCTCGATCACGAGCCCCTCGGGGGGCACTCGATTGCTGCGATGATTTGTCTCCGAGTTGCAGCAATGCCTCTTTTATTATTTGTACTTGAAAATCGTAGCGTTGCGCAAGAGTGTTGCACAAAGCGTAATATATAAGTTGCCAGGTAGTGCGGTATCTGATATACACTCGGCGTGTAAAATAATGTAATATTTAGTGTATAAAACGCAATAATTATCGTACACTTAATGCAGAGGAATTCTCGGCAACACACACACACTTGAGGAGAGAACGCGGCATTGCGAGGCGCGAGCAAAAAGTGGTGATGTGTGTGCTTATGAATTAATGTCACTCGCAAGCACGACATTGAACCCACATTATTGCCGAAGCGGCTTGTTATAAAACAAAAGGGGAAATTATCATCAAGTGCAGTTGCATAAATTATCTTGCAGGCAAAGGACGTTCAAACAAACCAAAGAAAATAAAAGAAAAAATTTGTTTCTCTCTCTCAATTTTGTATTATTCATCGTCAGTTTCTTGCAAATAAAGTGACTGTCAACGATAATTTTCTATCTTAAAGCCGCTAAAATATAAAATTTACTTTCACATAAAAAAAAACAAAAGCTTCAGTTCAAGTGAGGTTTCAAATAAAACCCTTAAATAACAATTAAAAATAAGACATATGAATAAGGTTTATGTTTTTATACTTTTTTTATAAGTGTCTCCCTAGATTTCTGGATTGTTTTTTTGGATGATGTTTTTAAATTATTTCTTTATTTTTGTATATAATAGCCAAGCCCATATTTTCCTGAGTTTGTCACAAACAAAAAAATCAAAATATACAAATCAGCTAATATTTTGCCAAAATATCATTTAATTTTTAACACAAAAATAGCCATAAGTAATTATGTAGTACATGTTTTCACTGTTCTTGTTTAATCTCATGTAAACAAAATCAATTTTTTGAACACTGATTTTTTATTATCTCTCTAGACCTAATATATACTTTTAAAAATTTTCATAGTTTATAATAAACCTATTCCTTTTTTTCTGCAAATTTATATTGGCCTGATTTTGATGTTTGAATTTAATTTTTCCGCCCATATATTCACACAACATACTCCATCTGTTCACACACCCTCAAAAATCCAGTGCTGCTGTAGGTGTAATAAAATGAAGCTAACTGCAAATTAGCATGGGCAGCGGCAATCTCCGGGTTTCGCGAGAATCAAATTTACCGTCATGATCTAGTTTTGGAATATGAATATATCTGGTTTGAATTTGCATGCGGTTCTCTCACTACTTCACCGACCGATGAGATTGACGTCCATAAGGGGAGCAAGCAAAGGTTGGATGGCGAGGAGGAGGGGGAGGGGGCGGGCGGGTGACCTCTGCGGGGTCTAGGTTGTTGTCTGCGGAGTCTCGTCGGGCGAGATCGGTGACCGTCTCGCGCGCAGGAATCACGACGCCATATAAATAAAATTAATTGATGTATGTACTCTGCTTACTTATATCGGGACTGTAATTAATTTTATTATAGATACCATAATACCTCTTTATTGAGCGTGTTTGTTGTTGGGGCAGGAAAACGATGCGAAAAAAATGAATGCACACTCGTGGCGACGGCGGCCCCTGCAGAAAGAATTCCCATTAAACAAGGTGCATTGAATAATAAAAATAATCTGCCTGCAGAGTAAAAATCGAGTTTGACTTGAATTATGTGGGGTCTAAAAGAACAAAAGGTTTTTAAAATGAGTGTCTAAAAATTGCAGATGATGTTGTAGAAGCAGGAATTTAGTTGAATTTAAAAAGATACAAACTATCAGTCGGAGTTGAATGGGTACATTATTTATTTTTATCGATTTTTTTTCAAAGTTCGGTTTATTGAGTTAATCAAAGTTGTGTTGAATGTGTTTAAATAATGTTTGAAATAGGCGTGTTCAGTAACTGACTGGAAAAGAACAGAGTAATGATAGTTTGAAAAAACAATAGGAAGAAGCATTTAAATAACAAAATATTTTAGTTTTAGTTTTTTGTTTTAAAATTTCAATAAAATTTATATTTAAATTTAAAAACATTAAAATAAAATGAATTTATACGGAAAGAAGTTATTAAATTAGTTTTGCTTTAGTTTAACTAATTATTATAATCTGAAATGTTTATTATTATATGTTCTCAATTGCTCCTCAAAGCTTCAAATCATTAAGTTTCTGTTAACTTAATATTGCAAGCTCGATCTATTGTCAGTCTCGAATATAAATTCGGTGTGGATGTTATTGTGGAGAAAATTCAATTCAAAAGGGTGCTATGAAATTCAATGATCAACCAATCTTTTCGTAAATTTGCTCAAATCCAAGGAGTAGAAAATTAATTTTATCTCCAATTTGTGTGCATACAAAAATTTCATCATTTCCGAAAGTCAAGTTTCCTTGAGCAGTTCCAAGAAAAGTTTTGGGATTCGGCCTTGAGATAGAGACTTGGGCAATCAACCCTATGCTGCGGTTGTTGCCGCCGTAAATAGCAGCCGTCGAGAATAAATTCTACACAAATTCCTGTGCAAACGCTGGCTGTCGGTACCTGCAAGTAATGGCATTCTTTTTTGAGTTGAAATAAATTACCAAGATAAGTGTTTGTCTCGCGAGAGCGACACACAAAAGCCCGGACGAATGGGCTCGTAAACACGGTTTGAAAGTGTCATTGAAGTAATTGCGCGTCGATCTTTTTTATTGGGGCGGAGAGTTTCGAGATTTGAATTTTATTATTTGCCGACAGTCAAAGCAAAAACGAAGGTGAAGACGAAAAAAAATCTCGCACCTTGCATCACTCACGGAAATCAAGAGTTGTTTGTTTTGCGCATTTGCACAATCAAAGATCGTTTTGAAGGATGAAAAAGTGCCATTTATTAATTTTGAGTGGTTGCTCATTGCTAAATTGCCGCGCATCCGAGGAGATTTTACGACATAAATAATTGCGACGGCGTTGTGTCGTGTATGTACCACACATGCCCATAATATAGAATTGCACACTTATCGGCTCGTTGTAATTCATTATTAATGGCGCTCTTAAAAATGTTGCATTTTATTGGAAAAGTGTTATTGCAGATTAATTATACATTGCTCGATGATTTATTCTCGGCATAGGACGGCAGTGTGAGGCAATAACTCGTTCCTCTTATCGAGTGATTGTCGCGAAATGATGTTACTCGTCCAGGCCGAAAGAAAAGTGACGGCTGCAACGAGCTGGTCAAAGTAGATATCAGCACCCAATCTAATTATTGAAAATATTCAAAATTAAAATAAAATCCTTATTTATAACCTGACTAGGAAATAATGATGATATAGTTTATTTACCAAAAATTTCAAATTCATTGGTCTCTTGTCTC